CTCACCACTCAATCAACTAAACTACGAACGCAACATAAACAAATTTAGCCGCAATATCAACACAAACTCAAACAAATCTTACTTGAAATGTTGCGGTCGGTGACGCCTTGAGCGTTGTCGGTTGTTGCCACCACAATTTTCTTCACTTCACTTTCACTGCTATTTCGACGACCACCCCCGTTCCTACGACACAGTTCCTTCACCCGCTGGTCTACTTTTGGCGCCAAAGGCTGATAAATCGTTGCGATTTTTTGTGTTTTGTTTTTTGCGGTGATATGGCAAGTAAACGAATCGCGCGTTCTCACGTCACGCCACACCACGCACACACACAGCACACGGTCCTACGGTGCGTATGAGTGATGCACTAACCGCTGTCCTTTATTGTATTTACGTTCATACACCCACCGCTAAAAGTTTATGGTGCAAAATAAGACAAAAAAAAAAAAAATGCGCGCTTATCCCTTGCTTGTCACGATTTATTAGGCCACCGAAAAACACAAATCTGATTTTAGCATAAAATTCAATTTAACTATGTAGAGCGTTTGCTAGCGACAAATCACAAATTAGAAAATTTACAGCGCATTAAACAAACACGTCCTGTGCGTTCAAGTTGCTGCATTCGACTGATATGTTACTAATCTACAACGCGAACAGCAGGATGCTGCCAAGCGAACGAAGTCACAGCCGAAGCGGCAACCTGATGCCGCCTAAGTCCTCTTTCAGACACGTCAAGTCTTTGAAGCAATTTTTTTTCGCATTCTCTTTCTCTTTCTGTTTGTTTTCTATTTGCTTTCACACGCGTCAACTTTATTTGAATTTAAAGCTGATGCCAGATAAAACTTTGTAGCTTTGCGTGACATTTATAACTTTGCCAGCAAAGCGCCAAACGCAAAAGGTATGCCACAATGAACGCCAAGAAAACAATTTTGTACCGCTTTTTTACTAGTCAAAGTTGCTGTGGATTTCATATATTTTGCTTTAAAATTATCAGCAATGTAATTAAGTTTTATGTTTCTGCATGAAAACTCGAATTTGGACGAAACAAAATAAATATTAAACTGGCTGATTGTCAAAGCGCGCAAAAAGATGGGAGTTGGCCATCTTTTCGCTTCGCGCTGCAGCTTCGACGATTTATGTGGCATGCTTTGTGCATTTTCATACAATTCATCTTATCTGTCAAAGCGAATCTGTCACGTAAAGCGAAGCAAAAGTTTTATGTGGCATCAGCTTAAGTCCTTGGTTCTTTAGATGGGAAGCAACGAAAAGATCAAAAGAGAAGAAAACTTGAAACGAATTGACGGTACGGAGGTATCTGTACTCTTCCCCTCTCTTTTTACCTCCTTCGCCCACGAACGAGCAGACTTGAAAGCAAAACTTGACGCGTCTGAAAGGGGACTAAATGCCAAAAGTAATTGCGTTTTATGAATGAAAAGCTCAACTTTAGTTTACCCCTCGCAAACTCTACTCCTTCCCAGGACGAAACTGTTGGCGGAAAAATATTTGTGTTGTATGTGCACGGCTGGCTGCTGGGGTTAGCGACACTTGAATTGGTAGTATATTTATGTACATACATACGTATGTATGTATTAATGTGAGTTTGAATTTAATGATGACCACAATAAAGCATAAAGGAATTTGCATAATTTAATTCGGTCATAAATCTAATTATGACCAAAAATTGGCGGCTTATTTTTCTCTCAACTGTTTAGCGGTCAGCGGGAGGTCACGTTGCCTGTTATTTGCTTGGCTTGTTTATTCGGCAGCCAACACGACTAAATACAAACAATAAGGTTACGAGGATGTTGTTAGTGGGTTTAACGCTGTACCCGCTCTGCATCGCTCGGTGGAAATTAACAAATCTCTTGCCACCCTCCAAACAACGGAAATAATAATTTTACTGGTTGGAAGCTAGAAGCTTCTACCCTTTACGCGAAACATTCTTAACCCTTCTGCAGTGTTTGGAATTTACCCCTTCCTATAATGTTTTTGGGCCATCTTTACCCAATGATAGAAATAAGTCAATTAAAAGAAAAAAAAACGATATTCAATTTGTATTCAGTTAATATTTTATATATGACATGCTTACCGGTTCAAAGTTGCCCTTAAATACTAAATAATAATTTGGGACAAAATAACCCAGAAACACTGTGGGTGTATGGAAAACCTATGTCACCTTAAACAAATTAAATAAAAGAACACACTCTTTCATTTTTTGCAAAACAATAGCTGATTATGCTTTTAACGAATTGACAAGGCCGCAGCTGTAATTAAGGAATTTTTGAATGAAACCTGAGTCATTTTGACCCAACCATTGCAGAAGGGTTAAGAGGTCAGAGGTCAGTTGTTTTTATTGGAATGGGAAGCGTGCATCGAATTCGTCTGCGCTCGAAACAAACATATTATTCTGTGGTATCAGGCTACAGCATAAGGGAATATTCCAATCTGCTTCGTTATCTCCAGATTAAAAAACCAGATACCAAACGAGCATATTTTACCCGGCTAAGGGCTGCTGTTTCGGCAATCTAGCCCTGTTTTAGGGAAAGTCAGAAAGAGTGGTTCTACTACTCAAGCCGGGAGTACCAACCAATATAGGGGTCTGATTGCCCGATAACTCTCCTTGTCCGAAGGATCAGCATGATGTCCATGAAGTGAACATCACCGCCATAAGCATCCTGATAATTCGTGGCCTTAGCCGCAACCTCACCTGTGAGTGAACGGTCCTAGAAGCGTTGAAGCTCTCAAAGGTTTTCGACGCCGTGCGTCCATGCGACTAGAAAACTTAGAGGCCTCTTCTCTCCATCAGGGACTGAAACGGTGGATGGAAAATCGGCATCGGTCGGAGTCTAGTTATCGGGCGATAAGACTCTTTTTTATTGGCTGGTTTCCCCGGTTTGATGAGTAGGACGACTCTCCCCTTCTTTTAGATGTCTGAAATGGCAAGAGTGGCCATTGACAGGTTGAGGACCATGGCTAAATGGTCTACTTCCGCAGGAACCAGATTTTTCAGCTTCAACATGCATATTCCACTGTTGTTGTTGTTGTAGCGGCACTACTAAGCCCCGCATATTTCGGTTCAACCTTCAATCATGGTCGTCCAGATCAACTTAGGCGAGGCCCAGCAAACGGGCTGTTTCAATAGGCGATACCATTCAATCAAGCATATTCCGTCGGATCCCATGGCTTTGGAGGCTTTCGCATTCCCGATGGCTACCTGAACTTCGCCGCAAGTGGAAGCAAGAGGCGCACTTGTTGTTGGCAGTTTGTGCAGCCTTCTGGTCACTCGTCGTTTGGCTTTATCCGCCGGAGGATGCAGCGTAAATTGTCGGCTAAAATAGCACGCGCCTCGCTCCGGATCCGACGGAAAGAGATTTCATACGTCTACCAACTACCGTTTGTAATATATGCTAACTTGACGTTTCTACTCAAGATAACTAATCCAATCAATGAACATTGGGTCGCATATTAAAGCCTACTAATAAAGGAAGAAGGGATGGGATGGGGTTCGTATAGACGGTCAAAGTCACATAATCACATCCAGTACTACTTAAATAAGATGTGCCGAATGCCACAAAAAGTGCCGTAAATCTGATGTGATTTTTTTGGGCGGTCATTTTGCCAACAACCATGAAACAAGTGGAGGAAATTCTTGAAGCATATGAGGGGTATTCTCTGAGTCTTGCAAAGCCCTTGCATGGTGCACAGATTGCACGGTTAAAACCGGTTTTCGTATGGGACAGCTTTGCAAACCGTTCAATCCGTGCACCGTGCAAGGGCTTTGCAAGACTCAGAGAATACCCCTATGGTTTCTGTAGTATTTTAGACTACTGATGTAAGTTAACTGAATACGAAATAAAATTAAAAAAAAGGGGATTATATGGGTTAAAAATAACCTATTTTTGAATTGTGAATGTCTATTAGTGAATGCGCGATAAGAAGTTTGTGCATATGTAATTATCGCACCCTAAATCAGAAACAGTCACAACTCCACATTTTTCGAAATTCTTTATCGCTATCTTCTTTAACTGGAAATATACTATTAAGAATGTTTTCGTTTCGCTTACGTCGCTTGCACAGCATCAACAGTGTTTTGCCTCTCCCGAACATTTGGTATTTTTTGAGTTGTGACTGTTTTTGATTTGAAGTGCTATATGTACTTTCAGTCTTTGCATAGCGAACATGATTATGCATTTTTCGTTATCGTAAAATAAGTTCAATATTAAAACGCAAAATACAATTAATTATGTAGACATATCGTGTTTAAAGTATAAAACCGCGTATCGTCGGTCTGCAAAACCTCGTAACTGATTTTTGTGCCAAAAAAAGATATTTGCTCATCCGAAGCTCTTGACATCAAAGCCGCTACAACAACAACAACAACATCAAACTCTTATCCATTTATACTTAAATATCGATACTTAGATATAAGAACAGATAATTAGGGATAAAAGAATGAACCGTTTTCAAATAGGACTAGCTTAACTCTCTCCTACAAAATCTTGGCAACCTCACGTACGTGGCTTTGCATTTTCTTAATACGAGGTTTTGTACTTTAAACGACGGTATGTATACGTGTAATCCAATAACCTTTGTTGATATCCTAATTTAATTATCAAAGGAATACTTTTATAAACAAAAGGTTTTTTTAATCCGTATCTATAAAAATTATGTGGTATGAACATATCGATGGCTGAGTGGAAGATCGACCTATCTCGGCAGCCAGTTCGAAAACATTCTATCTCAAAAAACTTTTCAAGAACGCCCTGTTTCAGAATTCGTTTCAAAAACGCCCTATCTCAGCTGCCGATTCAAAAACGCCCTATATCAGCATATTTTCAATACATTTTGAAGTGAGATAGGGCGTTTTTGAACTGAATTTTGAGATAGGGTGTTTTTCAACAAAATTCTGAAATAGGGCGTTCTTGAAAAGTTTTTTGAGATACAGCGTTTTCGAACTGGCAGCCGAGATAGGTCGATCTTCCACTCAGCCATCGATATGTATGTATATAAAAATTTAAAAAACTTTTTATTCAAACATTCTACATATAAACAATTTTGCCTTAATCGCATATCGTAGATATTTCAATAAATGCTTTATTTAAAGCCATGTAATAAGTAGAATGTACTACGTGAAGATATACATATTCCTTAGCAGGCTACTTCCGTCTAAGCTTTTAAGAATCTGGCGTGATGATCAAAATGCTCTCCAATGAACGTGGCAATGAAAAAGTAGCTGTGGTCGTAACCCTCGCGTTGCTTATAAACTAATTGCAAGTGTCTATTTTCAGCACCGGCATTCAAAAGATTCTCTGGCAGCAATTGCTTCTCTTTATAAAAATTATCCTCTGAACCTTGATCTACTAGAATTTCTAATGGTGTACCAGCATATACTGTTGCTAATTCGGTCGCATCCCACGCCTTCCATAACTCCTCATTGGCACCTAAATAGCCAGAGAATGCTTTCTTACCCCACGGGCATTGAACGGGGTTCGAGATGGGCGCGAAAGCAGACACAGATTGATAAATACCAGGATTCTTTAACGCACATATCAATGCACCATGGCCGCCCATGCTGTGGCCAAAAATACCACGTTTATTGGGCAGCACCGGCAAGTTGGTGTTCACTAGTTCCACTAATTCTTGTGTCACGTATGTGTACATCTTGTAATTTTTAGACCACGGCGCCTCAGTTGCGTCGACATAGAAACCAGCACCACTGCCAAAATCCCAATGATCATCCTCACCAGGAAGATTTAATCCACGGGGAGATGTGTCAGGATTGACAACTACAATGCCATGTTTGGATGCATGTTGCTGAAAGCCAGACTTTTGTATAAAGTTGTCTTGGGTGCAAGTAAGACCACTCAAGAAGTATAAAACCGGGCATTCGTCATGATCTTCAACGGCAGTGGGTGGCATGTAGACACCAAACTTCATTTCGCAGCCCAGCACTTCCGAGGCGTGAGAATAAACACGTTGCTCTCCACCGAAACATTTAACACTGGACAGCAATTTCAGAGACATTTTGGACACTGAAAAGTAAACAGAAATGTGGTTAAACGCAAAAATAAAAGTTCTGCAGAGGATTTGCACTGACCTTGTACCTTTAAAAATCTAATTAGATTCATAAATTATCTCAATCGCCGGCTAAATGAACTTTTCGCAAAATGAATCAGATGAAACTTTAACTGTGTTGCCAGAAGATTTCAAACCTCTTTAGAGATTAGAGATAAGAACGTAAATCCAAAGACCGTAAATACAAAAGTTTGGGCCTTAAAGCCCTGTCTCCACAGGAAAACACTGATGTCGTGAAAACTATGTCACAAAATATATTTCCAATGGAGACCGCCTATTTCTCATGCGCTGCAATATATGTCAGCGCTTATTGCTTGACATCTATTGCAGGCAATTCGATAGTTTGACAGCCATATTTTCATTTGAAAGAAAGCGTGCTGGTGGTAACATCGATGAAATTTTTATATTAAATCAAAATAAAAGTCTGTTTCTTATTGGATTATTTATGATTACGTTTTAGGAAATTATTCAGCAAGTTTTTTTAAAGATTTAAATGTTTTTAAACACCGAAATTAAGAGAATGTTGTCTGGTGGCGTCATGCGGCAAATGCTTATTTCAAGACATCAAAGTGCCCACACACAAAAACTTGCAATCACATTGCTTGTCAAAATGACAGTTGGTAGGCCATCGGTGTTTGCCTGTGGAGTTCTGCGGTAAGGGCTAACTATAATATGAGTAAGAAAGCGCAAAGAACGTAAATGCCGCTTTTCTTCTGTTTGCTGGCATTTTCCTCATTCGAGACGAAAATCAAAAATGTGCCGCGGACAGAGTCAAAAGGTAGACGAGCACCTCATCTCAACCTTTCAGATACGGTCAAAATCGTCGCGGTACATTTTCAAAGTAACGAGTTGTCGCTTCTTATACATTTACGTTCTTTTCATTTACGTTCTTTGGTTTGATGAAACATTCAAATAAATTGGAATGCAACCCTGCTGTGAACGCACTCGCCATAACCGATTCGTCTGGCATCATTCATCCAACGTAACAGCTGATTGGCGTGGAAAAATTGCGGTTTTTATTTATAATTTTTTAACTATTTTGAAATAAAATAACAATGTCTGAGGATGCCAGTACTTCGAGCTTTGGGTTCAAGAAGCGAAATATTCGAAAGCAAGTTGCGCTTCGCAGGAAGCAAAGTAGCAGCTCGGAGTCAGGTTAGTGGCCAACACCATAATCTGGCAACCGACGTTGTTAAACTTTTGCTATTTAATTTATAGGCAAAAGCAGTGAAGGTGAAACGACCTCGGCAGTTGTGCGTGGGGAAAACCGTCGCAAGCGCGCCAACCCTAATTTTCAAAGCACTAAGCAATTGAGCTCTAAACGCGAGCGGAAAAACGATGCGTCCTCTGCTAGCGACAGTGAGGAGGATGATAACAAAGTTAGCGTCTCGTACAAGTCCAAGAAGAGTGCTTTGCCAAGCGGACCGCAAGATCAAGGAGCTACATCTATAAATGAAGCTGAGACAGCCCAAGATCGCGACGCGCAAGCATTGCACGAAAAAATGTTAAAAATTAACGAAGAGCTTGAGGGCAAAGCTGATGACAAAGTGTATCGCGGTCTTAATAATTATGCACAATACTACAAAAAAGAGGGCACAGCTCAGGGTAATGCAAGTTCAGGCATGGTGAGAAAGGGTCCTATACGTGCGCCGGCACATTTACGTGCCACTGTACGATGGGATTACCAACCTGATATTTGTAAAGATTATAAAGAGACAGGCTTTTGCGGTTTTGGCGACAGCTGTAAATTCTTACATGATCGCAGCGATTACAAAGCGGGTTGGCAACTCGAGCTGGATCATGCTGCTCAACAGCGCGGTGAGGCAGAATCGGATGAAGATGATACCAAATATGAAATTCATTCAGATGAGGAAACATTGCCCTTCAGGTGTTTCATTTGTCGCAATAGCTTCGAAAATCCGGTGGTGACCAAGTGAGTTTAGCAAGACTTATTTTCCTATATAGGTATATATGTACGTATAAATAATAATAAATATGCTTTCAGGTGTAAACATTATTTTTGCGAAAAATGTGCTTTAGAAAACTACAAAAAGTCACAGCGATGTTATCTTTGTTCACAACAAACCAATGGCATTTTTAATCCAGCTAAAGAGTTAATAGCTCGCTTGAAAAATGCTCCAGAAGGTGGCCAAGTTTTCTCATCGGACAGTGATTAGCTTGTAAGTTATAACCAGTTATATAAATAATTATGTAGTAATTATTTGTAGATAGCTAAGCGGCCTCTGTGGTGTAGTGGTTAGTAGTGCGCGCTACCTTTCCGTGGGGCCTGGGTTCAAGCCCGATTTCCGACCAAAAATAAAAAACAAAAATTTTTTTCTATTAGCGGTCGCCGCTCAGCAGGAAATACCAAACCTCAGAGTGTATTTAAAACTGTAAGTCCCTCCGCTTTGTGTGCCAACATCAAAACGCACGCCAAACGGCCAATGAGTATGTATGAAAACAAAAGACTACTAGCATATTCATACATGATTTTAATTGAATAAAATAATTGCAATTTTTGAGTATTTCTAAGAAAATTAGTGTTGTTATTAGGTTTGTTCGTCGAGCAAAAAATTTGTACGAATTTGTAAGAATTATCACGATTTTTGCCCAAATCGCGTTCGTGCAGACCAAAAAATTATCCAACACTCAAAAATTTTGAGAGCAAAGTGACAGTTCTCTTGGAGAGAAGTTGCAAATTCTTGCTGGAAAAAATTTTGCCAGCAAGAATTTGCAAACACGAAAAACATGTGGTTGTGGCGCATGGTTGCATTTTTGTCTACAATAATTTGAATAAATTAGTTCGTTAAATTTAAAAATTTATAAACACGAGCGATTTTTTTATGAAAAAAGGAAGTAAATAATTGTTGATATAATTAATTTAGTTAATTCCAATGATTTGAACTTAATTCGGCTGAAAAAAATGGTATTCGCAATCGGAATGCAATTGCAACCAGAGTCGATTTAAGAAACCCGACAGCTAGTACGATGAAGAAATTGAAATGTATGTTAAAGAAAGTCAGAACAACAAGAAATATACATGTATATCCTGTTTTTGGCCATCCGAAAGAATTTTAAAAATTCTATAAAAATTGTTTATGTTTGAAATGCAACCGTGGACGCCAGCTGGCAGCGAAACTTGCAAATTCCTGCAAATTTGCGTTCGTGCAGAAATTTGCAAGTTTCTCAACATGAGAGAGAATTTGAGAGAATTTTTTCTTACTCTCTGATATTTTGAGTGTTGGATAATTCTTGCTGGATTTTCGACGAACAAACCTATTGTATGTAACAGTGTAAAATATTCCACATATGTAATTTTGGGATGGTATCAAAATATATTTGAGTTTAATCTATTTTATCTAGGTACATATATACAAATCTGAAAATGCGATATCTGGATGAATGAACTTGTTAATTAAAAAAAAAAATTAAAAGTCATAAAGGGATGTTATAAAAACATATGCACGTAAGTCTCGAATGGTTTTGGGGAATGCGGCAGTGGTGTCAGTTGACAGTGTTTGTGTTAAACCTTTACATTTTAAAACGCACTTTAATATAATACTAGCAGACCCGGCGAACTTTGTCCCGCCCAAAATTAATTTTTTGAATTGAAACATTTTGGTCCAAAATTTTCACCAACAGTTCACGTTCATGATTTTCAGTGACGCATTTATCTTCTAATATTACGGTTTGGTGGTTATCACAAAGCATATTTCCATTGCCATCTTTAATAACATAGCAAAAGTGTATATGCATACAAAGCTACGTAATAGCTTCAGTACGGCACGCCACGCCCCTTTATAAAATAGCCGCAACTTTCTCTAAAACTATGGTATTGCTTTCATATGCATATCTCCATACCATGTTCGAGTACTCTACCATGAACACTTCCAGAGATATTTAGTGTAAAAAATTCGGTTTCTATGGGAATTGCCACGTTAATTTTTCCAATAGCCCCAATTTTTCTTCATGATTGCGATTGATTTTATATGTCTTGTACATACCAAGTTCCAGTACTCTACTATGAAAACTTGCCGAGATATAAAGTGTGAAAAATTTGGTTTGTATGGGAGGCGCCACGCCCCCTTCACTTAGCGGTATGAAACATACTTTACATCCGATTCTCATACCTACCATATGTATATGCACAAAAAATTTCTAAAGATCGGCCACTCCGTTTATTTAGTAGGAGCTCGACCACTAACACCGTGACACGAGATTTTTATATATTAGAATAGCATTTCAAATCGAAAATTTTAATTCAAATGAGCTTTTTCTAGCCTTTAAGGCAACTGAAATTCAATAATGTCCATGGCTTGATGCATTTCTGAACACAGGAGAACACTTACAGACCTGTAACTGCAACTATAGTGTGAGTAAGCTTTCGTCAACCCTAATGTCCCTGACCAACCCGTCGAAGCACGATGCAAGCGTGAAAATTACATTCTGTGAAGGGCCCATTGCAAAACCTTCCTAACCCTAGTGGGTTTCATACTTTCATCAGCGATAGAGTTCAGGGCGTTATAAGGAAGGCAACCTCCAATGCTAAAACATTTGGCTAGGGAAAAATTTTTCGTTAACAAGCCTCATCATTCCTGTCATGTGGAAGTCCAGGAGAATGGCACTTATCGACTGATAACTTTCTTTCTCCATACTTGAGGCTTTGCTACTCTCGTAATTTACTAGAAGCCTGTGGGGGTCAACCAAAACCCAACCAAATGAGCTTAATATCATAATAATCCGATGAGGTCAATAGGGAGGTCAAGCAATCCCTCACCGTTTTTTAACGAACCACCAGAGAGTCAAGAGCCTTTATAGCTGCTTGGCCGTTGGAATAGTTATTCACCTTCTTGAAATTAGTGAGCAACCAATCCGAAGCCTGAACTTCAGGTTGGAGGGGAGTTCTTCCACGTACCTTCCCATTAAGCTTCGATCCCTCCATAAATAGTAAATTTACAGGACCCTGATTCCAAATACTGCACCCCTTCCAGTTTCCCTCTCTGAGATATGGGTGAAAGATCCCTTCGGACCCAAACTCGGCGTCCAGTGGTCTGTTCGAGTTGGTGGGAACTCGAAGCATTTTAGAATAGTCGCGCGCCCATAGCCCGAGACGAATTTAAAG